AACAAAAGATTTCGCCTGCTGTTTGTTTCGTTTGTTGTTTTGTTTGTCTTCGTCGTTCCTCAATAAGTAGTTTCCTATTAGCAGCAGCAGCAGCAGCAGCAGCATCAGCAGCAGCAGCAGCAGCAGCAGCAGCATCTGTGACATTTTCTGTTAGCTTGTGTGTTCAGGTTGTTTCCCTGCCTTATTGAGCGACGTAGCGAAGCAGCAGAAGCAGCTGCCATCAGTAGCTGCTGCTTCTCGCAGCAGCAGCAACAGCAACAGCAGCAGCAGCAGCAGCAGCAGCAGCAGCAGCAGGAGCGTGGAGGGTTTGATTCACGGTAGTTTTACATCTATTAGGTTAATAGCAAAGATGGTGGGGGCCACATCTATGGCAGCAATCAGCAACTCCTATTCTTCTCTTCCTTCTCCCTTTAATTTTGCTGCTGCTGGCTTTGCTGCTCAGGCTGCAACCATGACCCTCTCCACTCTCCTCGCCGCTCTCCTTGTTGCTAGACACACTACTAACACACACACACACACAAAAAAATAATCTATTTATATATATATATATATATATATGTATGTATGTATGTATTAGTTGCTGCTGCAGCAGTTGCTGCTGCTGCTGCAGCAGTTGCTGCAGCAGCAGTTGCTGCAAGTGTCTCGCTAGCTCGTTCTCTGCTCAGTTAGCAGCAGGGCGAGCAGCTGCTAGCACAGCAGTGTTGCTGCTGCTGCTGCTGCAGCAGCAGCAACAGCAGCAGCAGCAAGACTGCTGCTGTCTCTCTTTTATACTTTCTCGCTTGAGAGAAACAAAGTTAATAGCAACAGCATAGTTTGAATTACGAGTGTCTTCTCTACAACAGCAAACCCTAACATGTTGCTCGTCTAGGGTTTAGGGTTTAGGGTTTAGGGTTTAGGGTTTAGGGTTTACCAGCCAGTTGCTGAACCAAAGCAAAACCGCCCAAGTGAAATATAGATAGGGTCTAGGGTTTAGTGTTTAGATGTTTAGGGTTTAGATGTTTAGGGTTTAGGGTTTAGCCGTCTAGGGTTTAGGGTTTAGGGTTTAGGGTCTATGTTTTTCAGCAGCAACAGAAATACAACAAAAGCACAAAAACTGCAATCAGCGGCTTTGCAGTGTACGTACACCCCATACTAATCACTTTGTTGTCTCCCTGTAAATATATATATATAATATATAATATATATATATATATATATATATATANATATATATATATATATATATATATATATATATATATATATATATATATATATATATATATATATTTTGTTTTCGTTTTCTGCATTTGTTGTTTCTTTGTCTCCGTTGGGGTGTATGTACACCGCAACGCGAACAGCACCTCTCGGCTCTACCGCGTGTTGCTGTTTTGTATAAAGAATGTTTCTGTCTCTGCCTGCTCTCTTTCTTTCTTTTATTTCACCATCTATCTATTTATTTATATTCCTTCTGTCCTCTCTCTTTCTCTCTGTCTATGTTGTTTTGTATAACTAAGGCTGCATGGTGCTGCTAATTCTACTCTATGCGAAGAACTAGCAGCAGCAGCAGCAGCAGCAAAAGCTGCTGCTGCTGCTGCTGCAGCTGCTGCAGCAAGCTGCAGCGACAACAGCTTTGTCTTTCAAAATACTATTGGATCGGTGTTTGCGAAAAAGGGGAGAAAGAGGCAGCACAAGTACAAAGCTTGTGTACCGTTGCTGCAGCAGCAAACCACTCTCTAACAACAGAGAAGCAGCAGCAGCAGCAGCAGCAACAGCAGCAACAGAGTCTTAACCCCTTCTCCTTCTCTCTTACAATCAAAAAAAATATATTTTTTTTTTCATCGCCTGCAGCTCAGCTCCCTGCGTTGTGTGCAGCAAAGACCCCATCGGTGGGGGGCTCAGGGGGGGGGGGTTTTGTTCTATGTTTGTGTTTATATTTAATAAATATTAATTATAATTAAAATAAATTATATTAATTATAATTATAATTATAATTATATTCTTATTATTCTGTGTTTGCGGTGTACGTACACCCCAAATATGAGCGAAATTCGTTTTTTATTTTCGGGTGTATGTACACCTCCGGCGATGCACAAAAGAAAGGAGAGGCTACATCTGTTTCTTTATGCTGCTTCTTCTGTTTTCTTTTTACTGCAACAAAGTAAAGAAAATACATATACAAACAAATACATAAACCTATACTTGCATATACGCACTCTTACATATATAACATACATATACATACACATATAAATATATATATATATACATATATTATATATAGATATGAACCTCTTTCTTATCTTGTAAAGTTGTGGGGTTTCGTATCCTTAGAAGCTTGACTCGATCCCGCCGCCTCCTCCCCGCTGCTGCCACTGAGGCGTTCTCTGGCTCTCTGAAATTTGGGGTTTTGCTGCAGCTCGCCTACAACTTTATCGTACTTTGTTCTTCTCTCTCTTTCTGCTTGTTGGTCGGCGGAGGGGGTGGCTGGCCCCTGCTGTGCTCTCCCCCTCATCCAGGCATCTACACGCTTGCGTCTCTGCTCAGCAAGCTGGTTGTTTCTGTCTCTAGCACGAATGTACCGGGGGTCATTCTGGAGCTCCTCTAGAACTTCGTCGTATTTTCTCTTTGTTTCTGCGCTGGGGCCATCCTCAGATGATGCTGCTGCACCTTCGCCGCCACCACGCTGCCTCTTGCGTGGTCTGTCTCCACCGCTAGCACCAGAAGAACCCTCACCGTTGTCGCCCTGTAGCAGCGCACTGGCCCCCGTTTCTACTGCTGCTGCAGAGGATTCTTCCTGCTGCAGCTGGCTTTCTGCTGCTGCTGCTGCTGTACTCCCAACCCCATTTGGGGTGTCACGTGCTGCTACTGCTGCTGCGAGGCATAGCAGCCCCAGCAGCAGAGAACACCGTAAAGAAGAGAGCTTCATTTTGGATGCAGAGAGAGCAGAATACGGCCAAGACAACAAAAATAAACAATAAAACAATGCAAAAAAGCAATTTAAAATATATTTATTCACTCAAGACACAGTGCTGCAGCAAAAATATATAGATGAATGAGCAGCAACCATCGAGGACCACTGAGAAAGCGAAAGCAGAAGCGGGGGAGCATCGACGCGCTGCGGTCAACTCGTGCAGCGCGTAGCTAGCGGCTCTCTTTTCCCCTTTATAATAACTTTTCTAATTAAATAAAATTTAAATAATAATTATTTAATAATTTAAATATCTTGTTTTTTACTATTTCCAGAGAAAGAGCAGATTTACCGCGCGTTCAGTGGCTCGCGCGAAACCCCCCTAGAACCCCCTCGGTGACGCCCACAGCAGCAGAAACAGTATAACATGTAATACTCCGCCGGCGTAATTATTTTTTTTTATTTATTTTATCAAATTAAACACATTAAAATGAAAAATTAGTTGAAAAGCTGCTGGGATGAGTCGCACCAGCACACCGGCAGCAGGTGCTCTGAGGCAGACGCAGAGGTCCATCGATACCGTAGCTGTTTCCTTCATAGAAAAAGACTCGGCATATATAATATATATATTATATATTTTCTAATATAATACAATATATTTAATATAATATAGCGGTGTATCGTGCCAAAATGCATGAAAGTATTGCATACAGTGCGTCTATTCAAGTTGGTTTCTGTTGGTGAGACTCGAACGCGGGGGCTCGGTGTATACTAGGCAGTGCACGAGGGGATGCAAAGTACAGAATTATTATATCTGCTGTCTAATAAAAAGTAGAAAATATTTAAAAAGAAATATACAGAGTTGAACGCGTTCACTGTATGCAGGTTTACGCCCGCAGCCAGGGTCCACCATCATGGCTCAGGAACCCAGCGAGCTGCAACAGGAACGACAACCAGAAATCAGAGTTTTTAAAACAGCTGCTGATGAAATAACCTCAATCGTCAAGCGTGCTGGGCTCAGTGGACCAATGGACTGGTCTGGTTGAGCGCCGAGACAGCCGATCATGTGCTGCAACACACCACCACGCTGCAACTCGTTCATGCGAACAAAACAAAGCCCGCTTCGTTACAGAAGCGAACGCAGTAGACAACTGGTAAATACATATTTGGCCTTCAGTAGCCACCCTGGAAACCTTTGAATCTAGATAGATCTCTCGGCGGACTCTATCATGGGCTTAGAATCAACCAGCAACTGCTGTACCATTTGCACTGTTGTGAGTCATAGTTCACATCGAAAAACTCCACGAAAAAACATCGTTACAAACAAGGAACTGAAATTTACTAGCGCTTGCCGGCAGTATTCAGGAAGCGGCATAGTGTCGGCAGTAGCAGGACAGCCCCGAACTAGCAGGAGGCAGACGGCCAGACTGAATGCAGAAAACGCACGCTCTATCCTATGCAAGAGTCGTCAAAGTTTATGGATTTCCTCGCTTGTGCTGAATTTCTCTAAGATACAACAGTGCACTCGTCGAACCACTGCTCGCCAGCTTCCCTGCTGTACACGGAAACACCTTTTTGTTGTACCCGACCTTACTGCTGGCCGTTGGACGCCGCGGTCATACAGAAGGAGTAGCTGACTTGCTTACATAATTTGGTGCAGAGCATGAGTGCATGAGGACAGCGAAGGAACTCCGAGAGAGAACCTACGACAAACCTGCAACCCAGGCGAGTTTTTGTTTTAGTGGAACCGCAAAGTTTCCAGAGCTCTAAGAAGTGAAACCAGCCGAAGACTTGGGTAGGGCGTTTTGCGGTTCGTTCTCGGGTTAATGCGTTGGCCTACATCGTAGATCTCCTCTCAGTCTGAAGGTGGCATCATAGCACTCAAGGGTTACCGAATTTCCACGTGACATCCCCCAAGAATGTTTAGCATCGAGATTGAGAAAAGAGAAAAGTGGAAGACTGAGATCCTGGACAGACGTGTAGCCGCTCGCAGAGATAACATAAAATGATATTATTGTTTTAAATTGCTAGGAAGAGGAGGTCCCGAGTTTGTTTCTCGGAAACTTTTTGCTTTAAGCATTTGTTCATGAACTCTATGCTCCAGCCTTGGGTGAGCCCATGATGCCTGCTCGTGCCTCTGGTTGCAGCTATCCCGGCGCTGCAACAACGGCAACGGCGTCGTGTGTCCTCTCCACCCTACAAGAGCTTTTGGATATTCCTAGATATTTTCTCCTGATGCTTACCAACACTCTTAATTCAGATGATGCTGAGCCCTGCAGTAACTGCTCCTTGGGGCCAGCCCACGAGCGAACTGATGTTGCGCGCTGGGGGCAATTCATTGCAGACTTTAATGGAACCTGGGGTGCCAGCAGCAACGAGCAGAGCCCAACTCAGTCGACCGGAGCAGAGCACAGTAAACCTCAAGTGCTTACACCTTGCACTGTCAGCTTTCCTGTTGGTGTTTGAGGATACCAGGCTGTGCAACGCGCGGCAGAAGAGGGGATAGTCGGGGGTCAGACGGTGAATGCTCTGCGTGGAGTTGGTACGAGCGCTTCCACTTGCTTGCTAAATATGATGTCAAACACTTCTCTACAAGGATAATGCATGTTTTGTAGGAGGCTTCGTTGTGCTCGCATTTGCTGCTTCCTTGCTCACTAGCTGCAGACAGGCGCATTGCAGCTCATGCCAGAACGCCTCCTTTCTGCCCCAGCTTCAGACCCTGGGGTGTTTCGCGCCCTGGTCGCCTGGGGAGCGAAATGAAGGTAAGCTGTTTGCTTTCTTAGTCTAAGCCTTTCGACGCAACTACAGCTCGCTGCGGTCCTCAGCTAAGATCGGTGACCCTGGCTTCATACGCTGCATAACGCTGTGAGGACCCTCTCAAACAGCAGCGCGCAGTGTGGATGCTTAGCTTTTGCGTAACACGCTGGCAGCAAAACTCTATAAACCCTAAACCCTAAACACTTAAGCAGCTCTAAGCTTGCCCTGTAGTGTTGTTGTTGGGCTTTACTGATCGAACCAGATATTTTCTTTTGTTCTTTCAAACGTCTCGTCCATTCCAGTTGCATTCCGTCTCCGTTTGGGTCTGCTGCTGAGTGACAGCTTGGGGGCCCCTCCACCCCTCCGGGGGCCCCCTGCCAACAGGGGCCCCCAGGGGCCCCCCTCCAGCAAAGAGAGACACGGGTCCTTTGCCTCTGACACAAACTGTGCAGCTAAATTATCGTTTGAGATGAATAAAAAAACAAGTCAAGAGCTGCGGTTCCTGAGGTCGGGGGCCCCACACTCAACAAGGGGCCCCCGGGGGCCCCAGGGGGCCCCCCGGGGCCCCAGGGGGCCCCAGGGTACTACCGCCCAGCGCGGGCGCGGGGGGCCAGGGGGCAATGTACATTGAAAAGGAGGTGGAAACTGTGGGAAAATGCTTTTGGTGAAGCATGCTCGCGCTGCTGAAGCGGTGGCTGTGCTGCTGCAAAGAACGCAGCAACAGCAGCAACAGCAGCAGCAGCAGCAGCAGTAGCAGCAGTGGCAAGTAGAAATCAAGCTGTAAAGCTGCATGCCAGATGGGCTTCCTCCTGCTGCTGCCTTCTCTGCTGCGGCGGCGCATCTTACCTCCTCACCATCTGCTACTTGCTGCTCAGTTTCGTTACCGCGGCTGCTGCTGCAGCCGCCGCAGCAGCGAGAGCAGCAGCAGCAGCAGCAGCGGCAGCAGCAGCAGGGGCTTCGCAGCAGTACGGTGTCGTCGCAGCGCTGTATGTGCCACAAGGACATTGACAACAGGTAGCCCTGCATCTGCAACAGCAGCCGCAGCAACAGCAAAAGCAGCAACACCAACAGCAGCAACAACAGCAGCAGCTGATGCGGGAGCAGCAGCAGCAGCAGCAGGTGCTGCTGCTGAACGGAGGGAACATGAAGAAAGGGATGTCTTAATTTCTTTACATCCACAGCTGTCCGGTGCACTGCGCTTGCTGTTGGAGTCGTCCGCAGCACTGCAGCAGCAGCAGCAGCAGCAGCAGCAGCAGCAGCAGCAGCGGCGGGAGCAGCAGAAGGAGCAACCGGTTCTGCCTGGCGCTGCAGCAGCAAACATCCCAGCAGCAGCTGCTGCTGCAGCAGCTGGTGAAGCTGTTGCTGCAAGCCTTCGTGCTGGACGGTCTTTGCTGTTGCACTTGCAGCAGCAGCAGCAGCAGCAG